CCTATTTCCAATTGGAGGAAAGCTTTGATTGAATTTGCAAAGTAGAAGGAATTGACATACCTTCAATCCAGTCCAGCTCAGGTTTTAAATTTTTTCCCTCCTCGGAGACTCAGACTTCGCCACTCAAAAGCCACAAACCCCAGAGGGAGGATCTCTTAAAAACCCATCATTATAGTTCTAAACATCAAAATAGCCACCAGGGGAATAGCAAAACAGTTTCTTCATAAAAGAGCATAAACATTTCCGTGAACTAAATTTGTGTTTTAAATGACCCTTTCAAAAAAATAACTCTCTCTCAAGACTTAACACTTATGGTCTTTCATATATTATGAATTCATTTCGGGTGACAGGACGCCAAATACTTAAACATGGCCACCATTCTATAAGGAAATGCCACTCTCTCCAAAGAAAGCATGGAGTCGATCTGCCACTGTGTCCTCTGTTAGTTTCAATTGGTACTATTCTTGGCACTGTCTTCTCAGAGTGAAGCTGCTGAAGCACCGACACTTTAGGATTAATAATTAGATGAGAGGATGTTTTTAGAAGTAAAGTAGGAGGCACGAAGTGGGGGTGGTATGTAGCGAAGTGTGCGTGAGGAAGGAAAGTGGCAGCAGAAGTTAAGAAGACATGAGGGATTTCAGAGTGCTACAAGGACAGCTTTCCCTACAGAAGAGATCTGCCTAAGTTTCCCACGTGTTGCCTCAAAAGGGCATTTGTCTTTATTTGCAACATGAATAAATCAACCCTGATGCAGTCACCTCAGTTTTTAGTCATATTAACAGAGCAGTTCTACACAATCAAGTGGCCAGACTGTGCAGTGATCTGCCTAGCCTCAGAGAGGGGTTGCAAACACAGCCTACTGCAATCATTAACGGAGCATTTCTAGGCTATGCAGAAACAGACGCTGGGATATAAGTTGATACTACTCCTGAAAGTTTATCTCAACTACCAGGACTGCTAAATAAAATGCTACTTTCACTGTAAAGTGAAATAACTAAATAAAATGCTACTTTCAGCATCACTTGAAAGATTGAGATATACTCTGGGCTTTCAGGAAGCTATGCAAGTTTGATCTATATTTAAAAAGTTATACATAAGATAAAGATATGGTGCATTTAAAAATACATAAAACAATCCAATGTGAGATCTCAGTCATTGATCTTTAAGGTAAAGAAAACATAAATTACCTTATTATTAAAACTGCTAATGTTTTTTATTTGCCACTGGTGGTACAGTAAAAAGCAAGCAAGTACACAGATGAAAACCTCTGGTATTCTTTAACAGACCAGGTTAACTCAATTTGTATTCATTAAACTTTCACAGAGTCTACATATTTTGATGTTTGCAATTTTTTAGACCCTCACTATGGTTCATGGGAGTTAACTATATTTGGAACCATTACCTTTCTGCTTTGTAGACACATCAATTTCATGAGTGTAGTCATAGCATTTTGGAGCTCAATGGTATTTAGAAAACACCTCAGTAGTCCAGACTTTACAGACTCAATACCCACAGGTTTGAGGTAGTAACATAATCAAGTGAAGCTGTTGGGCACAAGTGACTTACATAAATGCTCAGTGTCAGCGAGACATTGAGAAATGGGGACTACAGTGAAAGTAGCGTATACTGTTGCTCAGCTCCAGCCTATAAAATGTGGGTCAGGGTTTCATTTTTTTGTAATATAGCTGATGTTTAAACACTGGTTTAATTAAAAAATAAATACCTGGAGGCCACAGACTGCCAGTTTTCAATTCTGATTAGGCATATACATCTCCAAATCTGGGGCCTACATAGGTAAAGTGAAGTACACCAGGTCTCTCAGATGCTCACAGCAAAGCTCTCTTCTGCACTGAGAATCCACTTGGGTTGGCAATCTCTCATGTGAAAGGAGATTGTAAGTGCATTTTTACTCACTTAATCAGAGCTCAGCCCATTACCCTGACAATGATAGACTTCTGCTCTCTGACTGTTTTCGGAACATGTTCGACATGAAAACAAGAACAATCATCTGTACCCATTTGTCATAAGCAATTTTTACTCAACCAAGAGTGCAGGTGAAAATTAGCATGCATTTACTAACTTTATCTCTGACTACAATTTTTACTGGAATTAAAACTTCTTAATTTTAATTAGCAATTAAAATTCTAGCTGCTTCATTTTTGCCTGCATTTTTCAAGGAGAAATACCTTATAAAAAATTCAAAGAAAGGCATGCTTAATTAACAATACAACTAAATATAAATTTAAGAATCATGCTATGTATAAAACAAATTAGAAACAGGTCTTAAGGATTACAAAAGTTTTGCTGCAATCATGGTGCTTTAAGCTATGTTTTGAGTGGATTGAGAAACTAATTTAGAGTGAATGAATGAGCATTTCAGAGCGATGTAATGGCAAAGGCAAAGACCAAACTCCAACTAAGTAGAACTCACAATGAGCCAAATGTCTTTTGCATTTCTGAACAACAATTAAAAAAAAATGTACACTGAGAAAGCACATTCATATCACAGAGTAAAAAGGAAGAAATACAAGAAAACCCTCTATTTTATATTCTGTCCTATACAGTCATAATTCAGAATAAAGACACAAAGGCAATGCAAAATTTTGAATGTTGGTAATATTTGGAGGTGATTACATTTTAGAAAAATTGTCAACAAGAATTGAGACAAAAAATGCTCTGATTACTCAGAAAATATAGTTCACACAAACACTTTACTCCCTCAAGCATCTCATTTAATCAAAGTTATACATTATAAAGAAAGAGAAGATTTTCCCATAGACATAGCATGGTTATTTCCATTTTATGCTATTTAGAAATCAATAACAACTGATTTCTGAAAAGCTCTCAAGAATCTATCAACATAAGGCATCCGATTATTCTTCATAAACTAGACCTCCCACTTGGATGGACTGTTGCAATTCAAGTTAAAAAAATTCTCTGTAACTCTTTTTCTCCAGAAAATTAACAGATGCAAATGTGATTGTCAAAGGAGCTTTGGAGATAGATCTGCATCCTCCAGCTGTCCATTACTGAACTTGCAACAATGCTGAGGTCCCCAGAGATGCCTGACATTGGGAGTTTTTACTGTCTAGCCTCCAGAATATTTTTAGGGTTCTCTTGCTTCTGCAAGTGTCACAAAGCTGCAAATCACGACTAAACCAATCTTCCAGAGGTGGCTTGGTATCCACACTTAGGATCCAAGAATCAAAGTTTTAAAATGGAATATGGTGTGTTAGGCCAAGAAATTGTCTTGTCTTAGATCATCCAGCTGATCTTCACAATATTTCTGCCACACTAGACCCTTGGGACAGAGATGAGATCACGGCATTGTCATTTAGACAGACTTACTGCACTGACTGTTAATTTTGGAGGAAGGGTGCATAGTAATTGATTCCCCTCCCTCACCATGGAGAGGACTCTTAGACATTGTCTTCAGGTCATGTTCCTTCTCTCCTTCACCAAGAATGAGTGGAGAATTTGAAAGAGAAGTTTTGGATTTTTGCTTTAGCTCTATCAGTGACTTGAAACAGTTATTAACTTCCATGGGACTCATCTGTAGTCATTTTATTTCTTTGTAAATAAAGACAATAGCTTCCAAATCTAATTATTGGAATCCTTTTGGTACCTTTATAGAAATACAGATTTCTAAGCCCTACCTCTAGATTCAGATTCAGATTAGGGTCATTTATAACTGCCTGGTAATTATAATTGGGGCCCCAGATTATGCTGCTAGCTTCAAAATAAAGCAAATAATCTAATAACCGACATGAAAAATTAGAAAACTGTTACTATGTTGTCAACTCCAATATGCCCAGTTAAAAAGCTGTGCAAACTTTTCTCACTGGTTTTCAAGACAGTAAGTAATTTAAATTGTAACAGTATATACATTTTCTCTTCGAAATTCAGTAAATGTCATTTCAATCCAAATGCAGACTCTAAATGTTTATTCCATACTTGAGTCTTATGCAAAAAAGTTAGATTATCACTAATTTGAACATTCTGATGTGGAAAAGAAAGGTAAGAAAATGGTCCAAGCCATCTTTATTAAACAAACAATAAAAAGGGCAAAGTTCCATATTTGGTTGCACTCCTAATCAACTAATTCAAGCAGATGAATCTCTGACTTAACTGGCACTGTTCTTCTGTTTTAAAGTGCAGCTTCATTCAAAAGGATATCAATATCACAAGATTGTTCTATTCCAGAGAAAAGACAGCTAGAGCTGAACAAAGCCCACCAAGAAAATGTTCAGAAACACAAGTAAGGTTTTCTCCTCTGACTTTGTCTCCTCAAAATAACTATTAGGCTACAGAAAAACACAAGAATGAAATTTCTAGAAATGCATACAAACATATTTAAATATCTAACTAAGAAGATGGGCAAGTCATAGAGCAACAGACAAAAAGAAAATATGGCAGATGCTGCCCTTCCTTCAGGAGTTCATGGCTACCAAGAGATCTGGTTCATCTTCACAGCCTGTCAGTTCCTCACATGACCACCTTGGCCTTCTGTGCCAATGACTGTAGTTGCATTCTGAGATAAAATATTCATACCACAATGTGGTGTATCTTGAAACGTCAATAGTTCAGCAGTAAGATTCATCTGAATCAAGGCCTAATCAGCAAATTACTGCAAAATAAATAAAAAGATGGCAGGAAATGGCAGATTTATGATGTTGTCTAGATTTTCTTATAAAGTAGCAGTATTAGGAAAATAGATCTTAGTCATAAAATAATTAACAACCCAACAAAGATCAAATATACAGAGATAGAAATTAAGACAGTGATTACCGGCCTGAAGGTGGTCAGGAGAAGGAAAGGAGACATCCAGGTCAAATGATACAATGCAGGAGATATAAACGATGATGTATATATTACTTTGTTCCACTAGAGTTATCATCACCATTTTACTAAACATATATAATATATATATGTATGTTTCTTATAACATTATGTTATATATTTTAAATATACACAGTGAAATTTTTTTTAAAGTAACTCACATGATATTTCAGTCCAGGCTGAAATTCTACTGCAATTCTCTTCCCCCAACTTGATATTTATTTTTTCCTTTCTAAATGATTCTTAAATATCACTGCCATTATCCAATTCATTCTTCACTTCGTCCTTCTATAGACACAAAATCAGCCAGCACCCCTTCCTCACTGCCATCCAGATCCATCCGTCTTTTATAAACTAACTCAAGGTCCCATTCCTCCTTGAAGCCTTTCCAAACTAAATCCTTCCCCAACGATATGAATCTCCGACTTTACTGCCATGTATTTGGTAAGTCATAAGTCTTGACTTCCTCAATCAGGCAACTATGCTATTCAGAATACTGCAGAAAATGCTTGCATATCAGATCTGTCAGATCTTTGGTTGAGTCCTGGCGTCTTGCAAACTTGGAGCATCTCTTCTATGTATCACGTAAAGCAGTAGCTTTCAGACTTTTTGGAACATGAGGTATAATGAGGTATACATTTTACATCACAGTCCATTATGCAGCTTGCGCGCGCGCATACACACACGCGCACGCACACACGTATATATATTTAAGGAATTTCATGAGCAATACTTACTCTTCTGTTTTGTCCTTTTATTTTTCAAAAATACAAATACTGATCAGACCTATTAAACTGACTTCACAGTGGATTGGTTTGAAAAGCACCATTCTTGAAGGACACAATGATTACTATGGGATTACTGTTAACTATTTCTCTCGTTTAAAAAATAATTTTAAAAGGAGTATTTGGCCTTTAGGGTCTCTTTAACCTGTGTTCCTAAGTTACTTGTTCATTCAGTCCATTTTTTTTACACCAACATATGAATGCCTTTTGGAGTCATCTAAGACAAGTAAATACCTGGAATATATACTATTTGTCATTCTTTTCCCCTGAGCCCTGTTCTCATAAAAATAAGAATCCTTGAATTTTTATAACTCATTTCTCTAAAACTCAAACCTCTATTCCCTCATTTTCTCTCTTATTTTTCTAATATGCAAAGTAGGTGGTAGACTTCTGGATGATTATCTGAGTCAAAAGAATTAAGATTTTTTTTCTCCTTTAAGCAGGCTATTATAAATTAAGGTAAATATAGTTTCTAGATATTTGAAGAATATGAATTTGGGTTATCAGAATACCATAGATCCTCAAAATGAATGCATCCACCTAACTTACCAGGATCAAATGGTTTATTGACCAGATGAGTTGGCAGCCCTTCCGGACTTCAGTTTCTAGATGGATCCTGCTGCCCTCTCCATTCTTATCTTTCCACCTTTATGTACTCACACTGTTTTTCAACTTATTTTTCAAACTACTTGTTTTTCTTGGTGTCTGCTTATTTTGGTCCCTATGCTAGGAATGTCCTTCCCCTCTCCTCTTCACCAGGATAGGTCCTCTCATCCTTCAGGTCCATGGGAAACTCTCCTTACTCTCCCCACCTCTTCCCTGGCTTCCACAGCACCCTGTCAGGGCACTCTACCAGTGGTTGCTGGCAATCTCTCTCCCAAGTTTTGTAGGCTGAGTTATGTCTTTTTTATTCTTTTATTCCACAATCTAGGACCATGTCTAGTCCAGGATTAACTGTATGTTAAATGTATTAACGTATATTCATGAACAAGTGAATGAATGAGTGCATTAAGGGCAGGAGCAGCTGCCATTGAAAGAACTCTTATATGAGCTGCAGCTAGAATCATGTGTCCTCATTCTCTGAGGCCAATATCTTACAATTTTCTGATTCTAGGACCAATATTTTCGTGCTTCCTGCAGGCTGCAGATTTTGTGACTGGAAATTCAAACAGTGAAGTATAGCTGGATCTAAATATAGTCTTTTAAGTATGTTGAGGCATTATTAAGAAAATGTTGCAGGAACAAATAATTAAATATATTGGGCAATTCTTTTGAGGCAATTAAAATACTCAAATTTCAAAACAGCTTGCTGGAATCCAGCCTGCCCTCCAACTGACACTGATCTGATTCATATTATGCTTCAGTCCTCTACTTCCCATGTGAAGCTGATGCACTTGTGATTTTGTCCCAATCGTTTTCATAGAAGTCTAGTTAGTGATTAGGTGAAGTCTCACCACACCACAACACACTGTACATGGCTCTCCATGAGTTCCTCTGCTGTTTCCGAAATAAATTCCAATCATATAACATCTATCTAGACTTGCAATTGCTGCTTTTTTTCCTCTTTTGAATTAATAACCTATTTCCCCAATTAAAGACACACAAAACCTGGAAAACTAAACACACACACAAACTCAAAAAATGTTCTTCCTGCTTCTATTTCAAAAGGACATTCTCTCATGCAAACTCCTGTCTTTTGCAGAGAGCAGCAGAGAAGATTTTCTGCTTTGTACTGTGATTCATGTATCTTTATTCCCACAATTGTTACTCAGGGCAGGCCAGTGGTGAGCACAATGGGAAAAGAAAGAATAGTTTATAACTGGAAAATAAGCACATTCGGGAGAAGTACACTCAAAGCATTATCAAAGTAAAATATGCAGCAGCACCAACAAGAGCAAACAAAAGCCCACGCAGGAGATGTGTAAATATTTCATGAAGCTAAGCCTTAATCAAGCCTCTCTCTCAAATCTTGCTGGTGTTGTAAACACTTCAGTTTCTTCTAGTCCCACCATGACCCAGATACCTTGCAAAAACAAAATGAAAACATGGTCCAATGGATCTTTAAACAAATGTGTTGTGAAAATATTTAGATGGAGCATATCCAAGTACTGCTTTAACCTAGAGGAAGAAGACACCTTACTCAAAGGTGGGTGCTTCTTTAATGACTGCTCAGAGCTCCGTTTCTCCCCTCCCCCTCCAAGCCCTTGCCTTTGCCCATCTCCTCGGCTGCTTTCTGGACATCCACATCGTCTTAACCTTGAACTGCCCACACCCCAAGCAGTGATTTCTCCCAACGCCCCTCCAGAAAGCCCTTGAAACCTGGTCTGGATTCGATGCCTTCCCACCACCCAATTCACTTCCCAGTGTCTATTAAGTATCTCTCCTTGTTTTCGTCTTTCACTGTCCATTGTTGCGTCTGAAATTTCGCCTACATCGTTTCCATCTGCCTGGAGAGCATGAAGATCTGTGTGTGTGTTGGCTGACAGTCTCCTTCAGACCCCTTCTAAAGCCCATCTTGAAAGAACCGTTTATCACCTCTAGTCTCTACCTCAATTTAATGTGGTTCCAAAGTTCGCCTCTATTACTGAACAGGTCTCTACAATGATTTCCTTTTATCAATCTCTGCCCGCCCTTCCTTTCTTTCTGCTTACCTCAAGAAAAACTATATACATATGAATATATGTGTGTATACATATAAATGCCTATGTGGTATATATTTCTATGGTGTTTTGACCTTAAAGCGGTTAAGTATGGAAAAATGAGATAAATATTTTATTACACACATGCACACACGCACAGTCTCACACACACACACCTATTCGGATATTCGCAGTGTGCAGACCTGACTGATAATAAATTCCCCTGCCCACGATCAGCAGGCTTCTTCTCCCATTTACCTTCAAAGCCAGAGCCTAAAAGAGCAATGACCTTGCAGAGAAATTCATCACCTGCGAGAAAGACTGCCCCTCCTAGAGCGCAGGGTGGGACGGAGACAAGAGCAACAGGCAAAGGATCCCTAGGCAAAATGTGGGACCGAATCCTTTCCGCATCCCCGGAGTACACCGCCAGGCTCCGGTCCCTCGCGCGGGCCGCCGGGCTGAGGTGCGCAGGGGGCGTCTCCTCCTGCGGCCGCGGGTCTCCTACCTGCTCTGCCTGGCTCCGCGGCGCGGCGGGGCCACTGCCTGAGCTGTGGCGGGGGCCTCCCGTCGCATATCCCAAGCACCGGCTCTCGGCGCCACACCGTTGGCTCCTGCGGGCCCGCGAGCTGAGGTCCTTCTCAGCCTGGTCCCGGAGCGAGCTCCGAGCGTTCAGGAACTGAAATTACTATGCAAAGAGCAGAGGCTGCGCGCAGCAGTCGGGAGGAAACCTAGGGGGCTGCCGCCACCGCTGGGCTGCAGACGCCGCCGCCGCCGCCCCCTTAGGGCCCAGAGCCAGTTTGGAGGTGAGAGTTCACTTGCCTGACTGCTCATCCGTCAGGCCCGGGGTGCACCCATCTGTCCAGCGCTGCTCAGCCTGAGCATCCGAGACAGGGGCGACAGCTTTGCAGTTGGCAGCGGCGGCGGCAGCACCGGCGGCAGCGGGAGGCCGAGCTCCGCCCCCTCCAAGCCCCCTCCCCCGCCTTCCCGGTCCTGGGGGAAAGACTTCCCAGGCTGCTGGGAAGGGGCAGGTGGGTTGTGGTTCTGCACCCCTGGAGACCAGAGACAGATGGAAAGTTAGGAAGGGATTAAGGACGGGGGCTGGAGGTACAGAGCTATTCAGTAGGCATTCTGGCCCTTGCTCCTTCCCACAGGTCACCAGACTCCATGACTGAGTCTGGACTCTAGCAGAAGGTTTCCAATAAAGCCACGTGCAGTGAAGATCTGTAAGCAAGATCATCCGATGTGTAATATGTTTTGCAAAATGTACAGTACCCTGCGTTTTCGGAGAGGCACTACTGGCAGTGTTCCTTTCCCCACCCCTTCCCCGCTACCCCATGGGCTTAGAGGGCTTTGGAAATCGTCCCTGTTGAGCAGCTCCAGAATCCTGAATGGATGTGTAGTATGTTTAGCAGCTGTAGATGGTGCAAAATGATACGATAAGAGCTTCATTATTAACTGGGTATTTGTTGGAAGGCTCTGTGCAAATGCCTTATATACAGCATCTCTAGTTCTTACTACAACCCATTGAGGTGGGTATTATTCCTCACTTTGTGGAAGAGGAAACAGGCTTAGATGATCTAAACACTTTGCTTGAGGTCACACAATGTACCTGCTCAGCTGGAATTCAAACCAATCCAAAATAGGTCTTCTCAACTAGTACACAGCACTCACCTAGGAAATCTTATTTAAAATGCTGATTGTGATCCAATACATCTGGGGTAGGGGTAGGGACTAAGGAAACGCTTTTTTTTTTTTTTTTTTTTTTTGAGACGAAGTCTGGCTCTGTCTCCTAGGTCAGAGTGCAGTGGCGTGATCTTGGCTAACTGCAACCTCTGCCTCATGGGGTCAAGTGATTCTCCTGCCTCAGCCTCCGAAGTAGCTGGAATCACAGGCACCTGCCACCAAACCCGGCTAATTTGTGTATTTTTAGTAGAGATGGGGTCTCACCACGTTGGCCAGGCTGGTCTTGAATTCCTGGCTTCAGGTGATCCACCTGTGTTGGCCTCCCAAAGTGCTGGAATTACAGGCGTGAGCCACGCCTGGCCCAGGATAGGCATTTCTAACAAGTTCCCACGTAATGCCCATGCTACAGGCCAAAAGATCAAATTTTCTAAGCCATTAGATCAGGGATTTTAAATATATTTCTTCTTTTATGCCAGGTCTAGTTAATTGATAGCTGCTTCCTGAAGGTGGGTTAAGAAAGATTCTCAGGCTGTGTCTGGGTTCTCGGGCTAGCCATGTTCATTTTGGTTGAAGATGAAGGGAGCTGGGTGGTCTTCCCTACACTAGGCCGCTTCTAAAAGGACATTTTTATTATAGGAGTAGTTGTGGCATAATATTTATGTCATCATAGTATTTATATCATAAATATGCTAAGCACAGATGTCTTTATTCCAGTTCT